TTATTAAATTTATTGCTAATGCAATCATATGGCACACTGACTTCTGAGGAAATTTTAAATGGCACTCGTCATCAGAAAGGCTGCCTACCCCTGGTCTAAAGTATTCATAGTGTAAATACAAAAAACAAAAACAAATAAATCATAGGCAGCTAAATAACAAAAGCTTTGAATTAAAGATAGTGTTACAGGTGTGCAGATTGATCCAAATGTTGACAGTATCGATACCAACCCTGGTTTTAAACATGAACTATGAAAAATGTCTCAACCGTTTTTTGTTGACTGTCATGTCTATTTTATTTAAGTAACACGCTAAAAACAGAAGCTGAGCCAGAGTTTAGAGACAGGCACTTTTACACTCCAGGTCTCCCCCGAAAAAAGAAGAAAAAAAACAAGTTTCAAAATACACCAAAAACTGAAACGTGGGTTTTGTTGTGTTAACTAATTATATTTATAGGTATATATCACAGTGATTTAGTGGTCATTAAAACGTGTTCAGGGTTTACAAATTAATGATGATTCATCTTGAATCATAACACACAGATCTCCCCTACATAAGCTGCCTTTATAGGTTAAAAGTATCAGCAACACTGATCCTGGCTTTACTTGGTATACAAGTAAATAAGAATAACACGGCGCCAAACGCGGAGGTTTAATGTTGCATAAATACATGTTACGCTCCACCTGTGCTCACGCCTAATTAAACATACCCACTTATACCCAGCTCCTCACCTAGCCCACCTTCAGCGCTGTTTGCCGCCTTGCGATTGCACCAGTGCTCACACGCTACCGCGCGCGAGGAGGGTGAGCGGCACGTGCATGCGCCCGTTCCACCTGGCCCAATCACGTACGAGGAAGCTGAGAGCAGCGCTACAGTCTGCCGCCGCTGCCGTGGAGCTTCGCACTGACCCGCAGCTCGGCCAGCAGCTCACCTGACAGGGCTGACAGCCCGAGAAGACCACGCAAGATTTTCTCCTCTGAAAAGTATCTTTCGCTAACACCAACGGCGTCGGAGCCCTCTCGTCCGTCCGGTGAGTCAAGCGGGACGGTAACCGCCGCATCATCACGCTCTGTGTGTGTATGTGTTATGTGTTTGTGGATGTGCGGTGTGTAACTCAGGTGTGGAGAGTCGTTGCACCGTGAGGAAGCATTTTAGCGAGGCTGTGAGCGTTTAACCTTCCTGCTCCTTTGTGGGGGTTTTCTCTGAGGTGACAGTCGAGGTGTTCTGCAATGCAGTCCAGGTCCAAAATTACATCATTTTGGTGATTTGGTGTAGTTCAAGCCCTGAATCTGTTGCTTTGCTGTGCATAAACGTCATGACTGTGTATCTCCGTATTTATCTGTAGGACTTGACAGCATCCGTTTAATAGTAAAAAATAATAATAATACTGAGAAATGCTTGCTACATTACATTTCATTTTTCCTCCTTAAAGAAAAGTAGTTAAAGTTCTCCATTTAAACTATTTGAAAACTTTCTTTATACAAGAGTGTAAAATACTCATGATTTTTAATTCAAATCAGGAAGTAACCTATCACAAAATTAAAATGTAAACAAATATGATTAGTGTGTAGTGCTCCTTTGGGGCTTTTGCATTTGCTGAAACTTTGTGCCAAAGTACAAATATATTGATTATAGCTTGATGCATATAGAGTGTGTTACTACTGGAGTAAAAACAAGTGTTTCACCAGCACAAGCTTATCCAACATGTAAGTCAGTGCTGGTTTTGTCTCAGCCCCTGCTTTCCTTGGCTTTTGTACACTGCTATCCATGCCCAGATGAGTTAGTGCAGTCCATTCAAGTGCTGGGAACAATACCCTTCAGAGGGGGGAATAAAGGGGGGTGTCTCCTTGGGTCAGGTCAAGGGGGGGTGGGTCGCCCCCCGGGTTGCTGTGGAGGCAGAGAGTAACATGGAAAACTCAATGCTCTGACGTCAGCCCGAGGAGGAAGATATTTAAGGGGGTTTGATTTATTTGTGTGGGAGCAGGAGAGGGGGCTGAATAGTTGGTGGCAACTTGGGTCCCAAACATGCCCAAATCTGTCAGCAATGAGCTGTCTAATACAGGAAAAGAGCTCAAAATAAAATTAAAGGCAAGGAAGAGTGCCACGCCTTTCACAGTGCGCCTCTAAGTGTTCAGAGTGGGTAGTGTCAGCCGTATGCATGTATACCCGTGGGTAGTCTTTCCCAGGTATTAAAATGTATCCTAATGAAGCCAGCTCAAGTGTCTTGGTGCCCCTGG